ATATTTCATTTTATTTTTAGATTCGTTTTATATTTCAATGCATCATGCGAGGGTGTGGGTGTGAGTGTAGGTGTGGGTGAGGGTATGGGTTTGGGTGTGTATAAAGGGAAGATGACACCCACACCTACACGCAGACCCACACCCACACCCACACCCACACCTACACCCTCTCTTGCTCCAGTCTGACGCCCTGTGCCAGTGATAATTTGACGTGCACAGCACCTTGTACTGTTTTCGCTTTCAGCACTCACTGCAACAAGTCAGTGTGTTATCCATCAGCATTGGCCATTCCTCAAGTGTGTTCTCCTCTCAATTCAACTGCAGCAATATTGACGGTTTCCACATCTGCAGGTATTTGTCAATGAAATATTCCTGTTAATGGATATTCACACTATTTATGACTATTAGTGTCTAGAAGCTCCATTGTAATCAGAGACGCTTGTAGAATCCAAAAATGAAAAGTTATAACATTCTTGGTGGAACAACTGTTGGAGTTTTTGCGGGAATGGTCGAAAATCTGTCAAGAAGTAGATTGCTTCTTGCTTATGAAAAACGATAAACGTCTATAAATCATGGATTCCTCTGCTATTGAAGCCAATCACTATGACTTCAAAACGTGAAACTTCTATCTATCTACAGAGTAGCAGTCGCTTTATTTTAATGGCGCGTATTATTAGATTGTTTCTTGAGCTAGCATTCAATAATATTTCATGAGTCCTAGCACATCGGCACATTAAACGTACAATAAATCAAAACAATCGCTTTGAATTGAATAAAATATGGCAGAACAGCTATTATGCATAACTCGAAAAAAGTCAAACAGTGAAAATAAAATGAGTCTCGACTGAGAATCGAATCCAGATAGCATCCATAGTGGTAACTAGCCAAATATTTAAACCAACTGAGGTATCGAAACATAGTCTTAACTGAAATTGAATGTGAGCATTTATTTAATCTTTTCGAATGATATTACGGATAGAGACTTCGTTGTACGAAGACTTACTCTAATTGGTCTCGACAACTGACGATTTGAAAATATTCCTGTCTATTGCTATTAAATTAAGTCATATTTAATTATACATAAATGTATGTGACAGGACTTTTTTTATTCATTATTCGAATAAAAGATGGTAAAACGGCTATTATTCACCCATTGAAAAGAATGAAACATACTGAAAAGAAAATTAGTCTCGATTGGGATTAGGCATGCAATGGTGACCGTGAGTCACCGCTTCGCCCTCATTGTTTCACCGGTAACTGTTCCATCGACAACTGATCTAGATCGGGTGCCATTAAGAAACGGTAACCAATAGAGCAGTTACCGGTTGGACCAGTTATCGTCACTGTTGCATGCCAAAACTGGAAATTGAACTCAGGTAGTATCCACACTGGCAATTAGCCAGATGTTTAACCAACCAAGCTATCGAGACTCATTCTTAACTGAAATTCAAATCCAATTTGAATATATATTTTATCTTTTCGAGTGATGAATAGCAGCCATTCTACCATCTTTCTTTCGAATAATGAGTAAAAGAAAAGTCCCGTCAAATACATTTATATATAATTATATAAGCTTTGACTTGAGTAGTTCCTCTGTGATTTCTACTTAGTACGTAATAGAGCTCATTGGAAGCGTCTCGTACCCTTGTGCACGCTTACGCGTGTCATACGTCACTTTCTCTTTTCTCCACATAAATACATTTTGCGAGCGCTAATTTATTTTCTTAGTGTTCTTCCAAGATGCTTGAAACGATGAGATTGAGTAGCATGCACTTCATACAAGTTTGCGCAGCGTTGCATAGGCATTCACTCAAGCACTGATTGACGCGAAACTATGGCGCAGAGCTATGGTACATCATGACGAAAGAATTCTGGAGTTTTTTAAATTGTATATCTCTATAAATTCCTTGAGAATCTCTATGCTTTGAAAACAAACGACTGGGCGTCGCAATCACATAGTGCTGCTGAAAGAAGGCTTGATGGCTTTGCTATACGAAAGTCGATACTGTTTTTTTACAGCAACAACAACAAAATGAACAACAACAGCAACACAAACCACGATGATGGCAACAACGCCATCAACAAGTGAGTACTTTGAACTCAAAGAGTATTTCACTAAATGCCATCCGCGTTTACGTGGTTTCCTTCACATTGTTTCGTAATTGTGAAGTTTTTGGGTTGGTAGGTGACTTCCAGTTGTGAGAAATATTTGAAGAATGCTAGGGTGTGGGTGTGGGTGGGTTTGGGTAAAGGAAAGACCTATACTCACACCCCATCCATACCCACACACCCACACCAACACCCTATTCCATCCATTGTATGCATTAAATTATATAAGAATTTATCTCAATAAAAACAAAGATCAATTTATTGAAGAGTTGGGCCATTGTACCACCAAATGTTGATCTGCATAGCCTAGAATCGGTGACATTGTGTCACTATGTACATGCTAGCATATGCCTCAGGAGAAACAAAGACTTAGAAAAATTTTAAATTCTCCTACATTTTAATATCTCTAGCGGCATATGCAGTAGTGGTCACATCTATAAGAACAATGATGTCACTTCAATTGTTTACTTACCCTCAGACACCGACCACGTCCGTTACGAGAAAAGAAAATATGACCATATAGATTTGTTTATGCTTCATCCAAATATCAAAGAAGATTTTCTAAGCCCGAGTGACTAGTTCTAAAAAAAGTCATGTCAACTAAAAATTGTCAATTTTTGTCTGGTCAGAAGCATAAGGGCACTATCGTATTTCCGCTATTTTTCTATGCATGAAGGATCAATTCGAATTGAAAGCTGCAACGACGGACAAAGGAATTGTTTCTGAACAGTTTCATAATAAAGTTGTTGAAAAAAAGCTAAGCTTTGTATTTTTTTATTAAGTTTTATTGGTCAGTCAAAAGTGGCTTGAAAACATCAATCAAGTTCAGCATTTGTGCTGCGGAAATCAAGATCAAGACGAGGCTGATTTTTGGACACGTAATTCGAAAAATACACATCTTTGGCTACAGAATGACACATTTGTAACATCTACACATAATTTCTTTACAGAGATAGATGCCCATGTTAAACATAAATCACTCCATTGCAGCAAGAAGCACAGAAACAGCTGCAAATTCTTCAATCGTATCTAGTACTGGCATCTATTTCTGTAAAAAAAACGATGTTTGAATCAAGCTAATCTTTTGTTTTGTAACGAAAGATGTCTGTTTTTCGAATTCGTTGTCCAAATATCAATCTCATCTTGATGTCCATTTTCACAGTAGAAATATTGAACTTCACTAGCGCTTTCAAGCTAATTTTGATTGATCAATGAAACTTAATTAAAAATCCAAAGCTTAGTTATTTCCGAACGATTTTTTGATGAAAACATTTATACACAACTACTTTATCTGTCGATCCAATTTTCAAACAGAATTGATGCTTCTTGAGCAAAGCCACTGACACATTAGAAGACCCCCTATAATACAAGACCCCCCTTTGATAAATGAAGCAAAAGACATTAGAAGACTCCTCACAAAATCGATTTTTATAAAATAATTTCTGGAACCTAGTGGTATTATTTAGAATTGAAGTCCATAATGATGTCTAAGTCCAGCATGAACAATATTTGACTTTCGTCGTGATGACGATCTGTTAGTTCCAAGTTAGAAAAATCTTGAGAAACAGCTAATAGAAAGCAACTGTGTATAAAGTAATATATATATTTTTTTTGAAAGCATATCGTGGAGTCATTGCAGTCCTTCTTTGCAGCTTACTCTGAGAAAATTCATTAATTTCTATATGTGGAAAAACCTTTCTATGACCGCATGATCTAGTGAGCTGAGTCCACATTCGCGGGTGTAGCACAGGAAGAGATCTTTGTATAATAGTGACATATTTGATAAAATTTCGTTTTGTATTAAGTAAAAAGCTTGTTCGTGTATAAACTTCTTATAAAGGTTCAGAAACGTCTTTATTCCTAAACAGATTTTTATAGTTCAAGAAAAGCTAACTTCACATATACACTTCGAAGTTTGTTCGGTGAGTACTTATGAGTCTGAGAACGAATTTCGGGTGTGGGTGTGGGTGTCAGAACTTGTTTCATTTACACCTACATGCAAACTCACACCCACACCCACGCTCACCCACACCCACACCCACACCCACATGAGTCCGGAAACTTTTTCGGATACGTTTATGGGTTTTCGAAAGGGTTTCTGAAGGGGTTTCGGTTTCTGAGAAAACATTTTTTTTTAGAGTGTGGTAGCGCAAATTTTTGAAAAAAGCTTTTTCTTCATATCCGAAGATATTTTTATGGTACTATGTTAAGTATAATGTGAATATTTACATTAGACAGAAAATTTTCTAAACAATGCTAATTCCATAGGATTTTCGACCAATTCTTAACTAACTGCAGGCCAATTATAACTCAATTATAAATCAATTCTACACGGATTTCAGTCAGCTCTTGATCAATTTTGACCCATTCTTGAATAATTTCCACCGATTCTAGATCGACCCTGATGAATTATAGACCAATTCCAACCAATTTCGACCAATTCCAAACCAATTCCGACCAATTCCAATTCCAACCAATTCCAGGAATTGGAATTGGTGCATCCCTAATTGTGAATATTCTTTGAAAAATTTCTGTTGTTGAATCAACAACTGTCGAATTCAACGGAAATTGATAAACAGTTTGTGATGAAATTTGATAGAAGTATTGAGATTGTTAAAACATAAAATTAGGTACTTCTGTTAATGTTGTTACTTTTAAAGCTGAATTAAGTATCAATGATGAAGGTAATGAATTATACGATGAGAACGTAGATGCAACAAATGAAGTCAAATATCCAATTGTAGATACTGATGATGATGTATAATTGAATGCCGATGATAGAACAGGTACAGCTTGCATTTTTTGGATGTTAGAAAGAAGATGGTGAATTATGTTGTTGTTGAACATATTCTTTTGTTGAATCTATAACATAATTATTTGATTGTAGAATATTCATATTTTCAACTTTAACAATATTGGATGATTTATCCAATGAAACTTTTGACATGTTGAGTTGTGAATTTATGTTGCTAGTTGAAGTAGTTGGTTTGTCTATATTCGTTGTTAGGATTTGAGGAATTTGTTCAGCAATCGATGTAGATACGTTCAATGAAGATTTTCCATGTGATGGATATAAGATTTAAACAGGTCTTGTGTCTAACACAGTACCAGAGTTTTTTTTTTGTTTAGAAAATAGGAAATTCATAGGGTGTGGGTGTGGGTGTGGATGTATGGATAAAGTTATTGCGTACATCCCATACCCGCACCTACTCCACACCCACACCCACCACCCACCCACATCCACACCCACATCCCACACCCTCCAGTAAATATCTGTTATCTGCCTTCTGCTAGCTCTCCAAAATGAAAGGCATCACGCTACATTTCAAAATTATGCAGAGAAGTAAATATCTGGCATCTGCGTTCAGCTAGCTCTTCAAAATGAAAGGCATCACGCAACATTTCAAAAATATCCAGAGAAGTAAATATCTGTTATCTGCCTTCTGCTAGCTGTCGAAAATGAAAGGTATAAGAGTATGTCTTCTATGTACGTCGCAGTTGAGAATTGAAAGTTATAGAGACAAGTAAATACCTGATATCTGTTTTCTCTTCGCAATTCTGAATGTTCACAGGAGTAAGTATCTAGTTTCTCTCGGGAAAATCAGATTTCAGAGATCAGATATTTAGTGAAAACTGGTTACAATTTGAAATTTGCCATGACCTCTCTTTGTTTCTATATAAATATTATTTTATCAGCAAAAGTTAACCCTTTGATTACCGATGACGCATATATGCGTCATAAACTTAATCATCGCTGTGAAACTAATGCAATCACTTTTTTATATACGTCTATTAAATGTATTTGAGTAAATGCCAACGTCAAATAACAACAACTTGCTGCATCATGTTTTACAGCCGATGCTTAACTTTTGTAGTAAGAAACACAAACGTATGTAATGTACAGCCATTCTATCTTATGTATGTTTATCTTTTGCCGATAACCAAAGAGTTAATATTTTTTCTAATGGTCCTCTAGTAGAAATTTTCAGATTTTCGACTGTTTTGTATTATATATCAATGTTAGAAAAATTTTCAATAAAAATAAAGCAAATATTGTATCCAAATACAAAGATTCACTGTATTATTGGTTTAATTATATTTTGTTCAACTCTTTTATTTATTTTTCCAAATAATTTGAAATTAAAATCAATCTATGCAAAAACTTCTCGAAATCATTCAATATTAATGAGAAGATCCAAGATTGAATTACTATTATTATATGAAAAACAATTGTCTCATGTAGAAGAAGATTCATTTCAACCAATATTTTATAATCATTATTTGAAATTAAAATTAAATTTAACATCCATGGGAAAAAATCATTTGAATGATTTCAAAAATGCTTCCAGCAAGAAAATTCATTGTCTCAACATAACCTGTTGGAAAAACTCGAACAATATGAATGATTTTCATCCAGTTTGTCATATTTACTTGAGTTTTCGCGTGACAATATTATATTTCAAAGAAGTACATTTAACTCTTTTATCAAAAAACTCAAGTTGTTTATTATCATTAAAAAATACATCTAATACTATATCGCTCGATATTCATCAAATGTTCTTAGTTGATGATCAATTTCGTTTTACTTATCAATGGTCGAATTTTAATCAAACAAAACTGTTGTCTTGGTCTCAATGGCCTTTAACAATGACATGTTTAAATTTAGCTTTAGAGAATTTATCTGAAAATAAAAATCAATCTTCAAAATTAGATTTCAATTCTTTTCGATGTTTTTCTATAGATACTTTAAGTCATTCAACTTCACGAGAATTATTCGCTAGAGAACACGAAGCTGTTTCATATTGGCTTGATTTACAAAATGATGTGTCAATTTATAAAAAGTTACCAATTAAAAACACTAAATCATTAAAAACAAGACGTCTAGCTCCATTTGAAATAGCAAAAAATAGTCAAGTATGCTCAAAGAAATTTCAAAATTGGATTTTAAATTATCAAAAATGGCATGAAAAGATTAGTCTGGCTATTAGTAATCGATCGATGATATTTAAAGAACAATTTCAACGTATAATTGAACTTAATGTTCGTTTTTTAATCTATGAAAAGAGTGGATCAGGTATTGCTGATCGAGTGATTCATTTTATTTCAAGTTACTTCGTAGCTTTACTAACAAATCGATTATTTATATTTGATACCAACTGGCCAGAATTTATTGATACGATGCAATCAAGTTTAAATTATGAACCAGAATTTGTTATTCCTTGGCTGTCTCAATTTAATTTAACTAAAAAAAAATTATCTTTAGATATTCAAAATAATTTAACAGTAGGAGTTTATTGGTTTTCTTTTGATCGATACACTAAAGATTATGATTATGAAAAACATTGTCGTGAACGTATTCTTATATTTAAAGGTCATACAGGAGGTGTTGTACATACAATTAAATCAAATTCAAGTATTTATAGAAAATTTTTAACTATTGATCTTGAAATGAATCCAGAAAATATGTTTGGATGTCTTTATCATTCTCTTTTTACTTACCGTTTGTTTGCATTGATGAAAAGAGTTCCATTAATTTCATCAAATAACCAATTAGGTCATTCATCTCAACAAATTTTACAAACACTTTTATCACCGTATTTTTTTCCAATTGGAATTCAAATTCGTGCTGGAGATCAAACAATGACTCGAACGGTCATTTCTTTGGATGAGAAAATAATTCTTAAGAAGTTTGAAAACTTTTTACATGCTCTCAACAAATAATTAATACAAATGCAATATTATTTCGTGAAACAAATCAAATTCCAATTATTTTTCTTTTAGCTGATGATGTTCGAATACGTCAAGCTGCTTTAAAACGTTGGAAATTTCCATTAGAATGTTTTCAATCATTTGAAAATAAATGTCAATTGAATAATAGTGGCTTGAATATTCTATCAAATTCCAATCCAGTTTTTCATGTACAATATGCAAATGATCGAATATTAGCCTTTGAATTAGGAATATTTGATAATTTTCTTTTTAGTTTATGTGAACAGCATATAATTAGTAGAAACAGTGGATTTGGTCGGTTTCCAGCTTTTGCATCTGTAAAATTATGAAATATTTATTCAATGGTTCCTAATGAACAATCTTCTTGTCAAAACCAAAGTTTGCCATTAGCCAAAGCAGCTTACTACTGGTCTGGGATTTAATTATTAGTTTATAAGACTATTCAATTAACGAGTAGTCAAATATTCGAAATAAATGAACGATGTCAATATGAGAAATAATCGAAAAACTCTTTAGAAGTGACCAATTTATTCGTATTTTATTATGAAAACCTTTTCTTCGAATAAAATTAACATTGAAACGACAACAAGATCGAGTATCAAATCTTTGTCAAACTTTTATTTTAATAAATAAATTTATTTCTTACATTTATCTATTTCATCCTATTAGAATAAATTATAAAAAAAAACTCATAAAGAACGGTGTGGGTGTGGGTGGAGTGTGGGTGTGGTGTGTGGGTGGGTGTGAGTGCGGGTGGGTGTGGGTGTGGGTGTAGATAAAGAGATATCACACACGCCATACCTACACCCACACGACATACCCACCACACACACACCCATACCTTCACATCCATCACACCCTCATTTTTTGTAGATGACATCACCATATTCATACCTTCATTTGCGAAAGAGTGATGCTAGTAAAATTCACCAGATCGTAAGCAGTTAATTAAGCAAAATAGTTTATAGATATATAAAGGAGTTCGAACACGAGTCTAAAGGGAATAAATATCAACTGAACGAAATTTAGCTACATAACTGTAAACTACAGTAGAAACGATCGTTGCAACGCCTTTCGATCAGTATCGTTCGGTAAAACTATTGAACTTTTATATTTTCCGAAAGTTATTAGAAAAATAGTACATATATGACATATCCCAATGATCGTTCTGAAGAATATAGCTAATTAGAATAAAATATATTAAGTCTCAAATGTTTATAATTCAACAGTATGCGCCGTTGATTTTGAATTAAAAGAAAAATAACCCATATAAAGCGAAATTGATTGAAAGAAAAAAACCTATAGAGAGCAGAACAATGACTCTTGTTAACAGGTTTTCCGGAAAATTTGTGCAACTTATGTTTTCGGAAGCCGCACAATAATAAGTGCTGCATTTAATGGCTCACGAACACAGTTTAGATGTATCATCATTTTTTAAAAAGAATATGGGTAGGTAGTATGCTTATAATTTTTTAAGGAAAAAAGGTTGTAGAGCTGTGATCTCCAGCATTCGTAAGTGGATAGTGGGAGACACAAACTAATGTAAAAATAAGATAACTTCGAAGGATTTCCTAGGCTCACTCTAGCTAAGGAGACTTAGGAAATCAGGAATTATGCTCAAAAAAATCTTTTCAGAAAAATTGTCTGTTGTTCCAACTTTGCTTAGCTAGAGTTAGCCTGGAAAGCAATTCGGAAATTTCTTAGTTTTACATGGGTTCCTGTCCCCCACTGTCCGCTTTCGAATGCTGAAAACCGCAGCTCTATAACAGTTTTCTATAAGAAGTTATAAGCATTCAACCCACCTATATTCTTTTTAAAAAACGATAATAATTGCACGAACTTTTCGAACAACCTGTTATTATTCCGAATGAAAACGTCAAAACTGACATGCATTGTAATACTTTGGTGTTGTTTTTGCAGTCAAGAGAATAACACCTATTACTTCTAGTATGCGAAACTCACTGACTCATCTATAATTTTAATAAGGGAGGGGATGATGATGACCACTGAACATTTTTGATTTCTAAATATTTTTTTTTCAATAATATCTCAAAACAAAAACCAAAATGAAAAGAAAACCAAAACTTGATCAAAATCAATACTATCGATACCAAAATCGTATCAAAACCAATACCAAGACCACCAAAAGCATATCAAAATCAATACTGCAAAACCAAAACTACATCAAAACCAAAGCTTCAATACCAAAGCTTGGAAACTAATTTTGGTTTTGGTACATGCCTAGTTACAAGGAGTCTAGAAAAATTTCAAGAATAGGCTGATGAACAATTTATTTTAGTGTATAGACCGCTATTTGAAGTAGAAAAAGAAAATTTAGATGAAAAGTATTTAAATGAAGAAACGAAAAAGGATAGAATTCATATTTGTTCAAAGTATCGATGTCGTTCCCAATCAGTAACACTTGTTTCACAAGCTGCTTGTTCCTGCCGATAGAAGTTGAGATAATGATTGACAACATCTTCACCAAATACTTCTCGTACAAAAGTACTATTTTCAAAGGCATGAATAGCTTCTTTCAATGTTCGAGGTGCTTGAGGAAGTTCTTTTGTCTGATCGATATCACCTTCGAAAATTGGCGGTGGTTCAAGTTGATCAGCAATACCTCGAAGTCCGGATGCTAATGATACAGCGAATGCAAGATAGGTGTTACAATCAGCACCTGGAAGTCGGCATTCGATACGAGTGGATTGACCTTTACCAACTATACGAAAAGCAGTCATACGATTGTCATAACTCCATGCTAAATTTGTTGGTGCCTATGATGCATTCATGAACCGCTTATAACTATTGATTGTTGGTGCATAAAATACCGTAACATCAGGTGCATATTTTAACCAACCAGCTAGAAAGTATTTGAACAATGGACTACACTTATCATTCGAGTCTGTGCTATTGCTGTCAGCAGTGAATGCTTTTTTGCCACCACTGGCGTTGGCCATACTCAAGTGAATGTGGCAACCACTACCGGCAGTATCAATGAAAGGTTTGGCCATAAATGTAACACTGACACCTAGTTGATCGGCCATCGATAGAACATCACTAAATTTGATATTCAATTCATGTTGTCCAATTCCAGCTTCACGTTTACTGTTTTCTACAGGAATACCACTGGCTTTGAGATGATATCGAAATGCTTCATTATATTTTTCTTCACTTGCTGTTTGCAGTAAATGATAACTTCTATGATAGTCACCCAAAGTTTTCAGTTTTAATTTTTCATAGTTCTCAGCACGAGCATCACGATAACTATTTTCATACATATAATATTCCAATTCACTTACAGTAAGTACTTTATAAGGTGGTTTCGATGCTGCTTCAATTTGCTTTCGTAAAATACTGTGTGGCGCATAAGGGACAAGAACATGATCATTTTCTTTATCATCATAAACATCACACATGACAGTTGCGGCGTTATTTTGCCACGACATCAATCGCAACGATGTCCAATCGGGTACTAAATGGAAATTACCGAATTCTTTTGGTCCATTGGTATATATGTAGCCCAGTTGTCGTTGCATGTTCATATGACATGCTAACAAATAAGTACAACAATATGTTCCATTTCCTGCAATGGATTCCAAAAAGAAATCTGCATCGAATCTTTTTCCAAGCAAATGACCATGCATGTCAGGAAATGACATTACTACTTGATTACTCTCACCTTTTTATACACGTTCACGTAAATCATCTAATTTGAGGATGCTTGTGGTCAAAAAAAGACAACCAAAACAATTATGGTCAAGAGAATTACTCGATTGCCGCTAGAATCAGAACAAAATATCAAATGTGAGTGATTCACTAAATATCTTGAGGATTTAAACAACAATTTCTCACAGTTTCTGAATAAGTTTCTCTGGTAGACATTAGAGTTATTTTCAATTCGTCTATCTATATAAGATTGAATCAATTGAACCTCTATCATAGTAACTTTTTCACTGATAACTTTTTTGCATGCTTATATCATAACCTTGACTCAAATTATGTTAAAGTATAGATAAAATCGCCTGGATTTTGTTGGAAAAACTATGATGTTTTTTTAAAAGCTTGATTCAAAAAAATGTCAAATAACCTTTTATTTGGAAACGAACATTAGTTCGAATCACTATTTAAAATGGAACTGTCAAACAGAAAATTTTTCACATTTGTTATGGCTATCTGAATGAACGATGATATCTTAGAGTTATTCGAAGGTAAATTTTTTCGAAGACAACAAGACAAAGAAACTTTGACCAAAATAGGACTAAAATAGTCACAAAACACATAGAGATTTCTCTAGATAGATGCTATACCAAGAGCATTTCTCCTGTTAGAATTTTAAAACTTACTAACGGTTAACAAATATGGAGTGTACAATATTTCCACACTTCAACTCACCGTATATAGCGAATTAAATGCAAAAAAACAAAGTAGCCCACTTTATTTTTTCTGTTTATCATCACTGTTTGTGTCAAACAATAGTATAGTATAGATTTTTCTTGGTAGTTCTTTTTATCATTTTTGTTTTGATTGTCGACAAACACGTGCGATACATATTAGCCATAAGTTATTTTTTTATGCTTTTGTGTCACCAATATGTAAGGAAGTAAAGATATAGGTATGTATATAATACGTTTGATATAAAGCTATCAATCGAATAGAAGCGCATGTTGTATGCGAGACACAATGAAGTAGGCATAACCAAATTATGAAAGTAATGGTCATTGAGATTAATACATACAACAATTGTCTTCATTGTTCTATTCTTGCTTTTTTCCAATAGTTCATTTGTTATTGTTTCTGCAATTATTCTCGTTATGATTATAAATTTGTTTTGAAAAACTCACATATCTCGATAGATATTAGTTACACCAAAGAATGAATTTCAAGGAACAAAAGGTATCTCCAAAGTCATTATACAACAAAAACTTCGAATATCTTGACTCGAATCTTGAATAAATGAGCTGATTTTTTTTGGTGACAGAGGAGAAGATCAAGTTTTTTTTATTCATAGACAAACATTTAAAAATATTGCTTAAAGACTAAGACAAATTACTTCAATGCAAAAAAATGTCTCTAAGAGGAGGCAACAGTAATGTTTCTTGATTCTCGGATTCAAACAGAAATTATAGAGTCAAAACCCATGTGAGTTTCACTACGAAATATCATATGGGACACTATAAAACAGAAGAGCTCGAAAACTCGTGAGTATACACGGCAACCTTGTGTGTTAAAGTAACTTTCACTCATTTTTTTTATTAGTTATTCTTATGTTTTTCTCTATAAATAAAAACTTCGAACTCGCAACTATCACCAGAAGAAAAAAAATCAGTACATTTGGTTTAGACTCGATGAAGCAATTCAAATTTCTTTTTGTATGGTGACTTTTCAGATGCTTTTCGATTGAGAACGAAGAAACTAATCATATCAAGAGAAGTTTCTGTATTCAATGGAAAAGTTGTATGGAAACAATCATTGACAATCCGAAGTCATTATTGCATGGTTTTCTTGGAATTCAATTATTTTTTTAAAAACTTATGTCATAAATTGAACAATTTTGACCATATGAGAAGGAAACAAAAAAACTGAATTCGTTAAAGAACAACTTGACCTTCTTTTAAAAATAAATCTTTTGAAAGCAAAAATTCACAAAACCAAATATATAGGTAATGAGCATATGAATAAATCGGTTTATTATTATCACTATTTTTATAAATGATAACAAAAGAAATTTATTTAAAAATTAAAACTTTACATATTCTTTTATGTAAATAACGATTTTCTTTTTATTTCTATTTCAGTGATTCGATTTGAAATTTATTTTGATCATTCATATTTTGTACATCCACTCACACTTCTATAGATTATCATGAAGATATAAAGTGACACTGTGCCCTTCTCGATTATCCTTCCTTTTTTCAATATTGCTCTTATGAAAATTTACTGACTTTTGATGAGAGAATAAAATGCATACGTATGTTACTATTTATCGTTTTTACATTTTATTAACACATCCTATCTATTCTATGTAAATGTTTCAATTTCTTTTTACAATGGTTCAACATTCACATTCAGTTTAAACATACATACGAAATTTCAATCAATCAAATGATTTATTCTGATGATAAATTCTATAAAAGTATCTAATTTAAATTTAGTATGTATCAAATCATATTTCAACATTTAATTTAATTAAATAAAAACAAAACTTTTATTTAATGAGTTTAAAAATAGTTTCACCTTGTTGATGGTATCATATTATTACGTATGTATTGAAATTAGTTTTTTTTTCTTTCGAAAATATTTTTCTCATGTATTAATTCGTTTCAATTCGAAAATCTTTGATTTGAACTTGAGTCTTAATATTATATTTAATCGAACAAGATCGGTTACTATTGGTTGTGTCCTATATTAATAAGAAAAGAACATTCATCTTGCAACGCCAAGATGAGTTACGGGTTTTTAAAAAAAGCATATATTTAAAATGCTACTTGTTGACGTTATTTCGACTATAAGAATAGATCATGATGGTGAAGTTTGATTTAAATTGAATCAACAGCACATTATTCGATGTTTTCTAAGGAGTTTTTAAGTTTGCGATTAAGACTGTGTATCTTTTGAATATTGCTGCATTATAATCACTACTGAAATTTATGATGATTATTCAAGTTAAGACGAATTCTTTGTCATGCATCACTTTACATTAATATTTAAAAACTCATGTTTGTGGGTGTGGGGTGTAGGTGTGGATGTGGATCTTTTCTCTTAAGCCATACCCACACCCACATGGATGTTCAATTTTTAATAAGTTTTAAAAATATCGGGTCTTCTCTCGACAAGTATAACTACATTGAATAGTAAACTATAAATAGTGTTCGCTATGGAATTTGATTGTCTTCCGAAAATCACAGTTCAAATCAGGATGAAAGAAAAAGACGTTAAAAGTAATCAGATATTCATGACTCACATCAGATTCTGGATTGGACGACGTACTTTTCAATAAAATCCAAAGAAAGGCAAATGTTCAACTATTTTTGACACGAGATATATTCATGAAAAAGTCTTTATGAACAAAAACACTGCAAAACGCTTAACGATCTAAAAATACCACAAAACAGTGATTCTAATGAACTTTCATAACGTACTATTTCTAAAAAACGGACGCGAATACTATGTTAAACGAGGCTCAGAATGGACGTGTTCGGTGAAGATTGTTGAATTCTATCAGGTGGTGTCGCTTTCTTGCCAAAATTACCAACATAAACAACTAAAACACACTATAAACGAGCCCTAGTTGTGAATTTTTATCAAAAATAGGGATGAGTTGGAAACATCTGACATATGTCATTTTTTATTCATACGACCACTATCTAATCGAAGGGATTTTTTTCAATTGACCGATCCTCGTTTGACGATGTACAAAATCCATTTTTTTAGATAAACTTTGACTTGTTCACTAAAGGAAAGATTTTGTCTCTCCATAGTACTTAATCCTGCTTAAGAATAGAAAAACTTTCATTTCAAGCATTATCGATCGTTTTCTTTTGGGTGTCAGCCTTAGCTGTCTTTACATTTCAGTTCGTACTTTCTCCATATTGGATGATCGATAGTTAGACATACCAACCATCGACTAAATTACTTTCAATAACAGAGTAATTCAAGACTCTTAAATGATAACGGGAATAATAAAACATACTACAACACATACAGAATTTGAAGTTAATTAAGAAATTTTACTTAAAATAGCCTTTTTTTGGCTAATCAAATCTATTTGACGAATGCTATAGAATAGTTTAAAACGAGATGTTCGACTACATGCTGCTCAACGATTTTTCATAAAATAGCCAAATCTATATAAAAATCTACTCAATCTAGATATGATCACATTGTTGCTGTTTGTACGAATCTTCTGTTTACTCATGCCCTTGATGCACAAGTGACTGTTGCTAATAAGAGGCACATGAAGAATAAATATACCTGTGATTAAATCTTACGTGTCATTTCTGTAGTAGTAGTAGTAGTAGAAGCTGTGATAATGGATTCCGCAGTTATTTCTCTGGTTGTCGAAGGGGATTCCGTCATTGTTTCTGTGAGTCTCGAAGCGATACTTGTTGTCATTGTTGTTGTAACTATTGGAGAGACGTTTGTCGTTACTTTTGTGATTGTCGAACTAAGAATCATTGTTGATAGTATGCTAGTCGAATTAGTGTGACCTGAAGTAGGTGACGAGTGTATTGTTCATCGAGTTAAGAGGACAGTTGGGACAGTCACAGCAACCCTCACGACTGTGATTATAAGTAGAACAAGAAGACTTTTGACCAGGGGACCTAGTTTTCTATATGGATAATGATATATGACAACATTTTGCTTTGGCATAGTCATACAAACTTGCACTTATTCACTTCTTCTCTAGTAAAGTCATCCATATCAAACTTCTCCCATATTGCCGTCGATGTTGGTGTACTGGCGCCTTGGAAAACTAACAAATCAGTCTTTCTAGTAGCCATGAATAGTTAATAGTGAAGATGTTCATAAATGAATC